TGAATAGGACAAAAGTCATATATATATATATATATATATTATATCAGTTTTTGAGTGCACTTTGATTTTTTATTTTTTTTGGTTCTCAAAAGTTGGCTGATGTTTCTAAAAAGGCTGAAAAAAGCAAGAAAAATATCTGGCTGCAAAACTACAAAAACCTGATTTACTGACTGGTGACATGACTGAGTAAGTACACTGTACCACTGATTTAACATTAATTTTTTTTATTTATATTTTACTTATCTGAAATCACTACCAAGCCATAAGCTGCTAAATAAATAAATAAATAAATAAATAAATAAATAAATAAATAAATAAATAAAACACGCACTCCTGCCGATTTGTTTTGGTCCCTCAGGTTTTAAAAGTACTTTATTCATTGGGCTGTGCAGGGCATCATTTCTGATGATGATAATACAACAGATCCCAACACTTGGTTCTTATTGCCTCCCAACTTTAACTTCAAACTGTGGTGCATTCACTGCGCCTTAAAGCATTAAGTCAAACTGTTATTTCCACTTCTTTCCACAGTCTGGAAACTCTAAGCCCCCTTCGAAGGCTAGTGTTAGAATAATTTTACATAATTATGTACAGCCTCTCTCTCAACCCTTCAAACAAGCCAATCAGAAATAAGCTGAAAACAACTCTGTTACCATTTTGTTTTAGAAACACAAGACAACAAGTAAAAAAAGTACCGTAATCACAGCTTTAAAGAACTGTTCATAAAGAAATAATGTTTGTATTTGTTTATCAAAAAGGCACTGCAAAAGGTACTCATTCCAATGTCATGAATACTGGTTCATAAAAATCCTAAAGAAAAAAAAACAACAAAATCCAATTTTTTTTTTCTTATAATCAGTGGTTAATGTGCCTTTGACTTAAAATATGTCAACAAAATTAGTGTTCAGCTGCAAACAATCCATGTATTTGAAGGAAATTTTGTAACTGATTAATTGAATATTAGATGCAGTTTTGTATTTTATACTTTCTGATCATTGCAGCCTAAACAGAATGAGAGTTGCTGTGTGTGATTTCATGTGTTGTGGAGTCACAAGATTGAGAATAAAGTTTTGACAAGAAATCCAGTTGGATTCCTGTTTATTTGAACATCCTATTTTGCAAACGCTGCCTTCCTGAAATTTGGTATGCTTGTTTGTCTTTGGGTCTATGGTGTATAATGATGTGATTG